CGGTTTATTTATTGGTATATTATTTCTAAGGGCTTATTTATTCTAATACACACTGTATGTACCCTGTGCGAAATAATGGAATGGAAAAGAAGACTGAATCGATTCTACATAATTATGTACCGTCTAAGTTACACAATTGCTATTTCCGTTGACCGTATCCGACTGAATGTACGGTATAAGGTTTCATTTGCTAGGAACTCAAATTATATTTATCAAATTTACAGTATTGATCAAAAACTAATGAGTTGTCAGTGTTAGTTACATCATGAATTCACCGAACATTGCCCCTTGCCTGACTGTCTGACGCATTTTGAGAATATGAACTATGGATAACCCGGATTTGAAGTCTGAGAATCAATTAAGTTATTCACTTCAAAATGTATTGATTTTCGGCGAGTACGGTGTGCGTCCGCAATCTGTTCACCACCACCTTCTTTTGTTAGTTCTTACGCAGCTTGAGAAATCGAGTTCTTTCTCATTACGTTACCTATAAAACATTCAACTTCTCAACGTGCTTAGGTATACAGGCATTTCAGTTATAACATGTAATTTCGCTAATTCATGATGTATCTAATTCTACGGAAAGTATATTCTCACAATGAGACTGTTGTTACTTTAGCTAAATTAAGATTCTGTCCAGGCATTGACAACATTCGTTAAAATGACAAAGTGTGACTGTGTGAAAATATCAAGCATAATAACGTGTTTTATCATCACTGTCAATGGTTATATTTCTGAAAGTCGTAAATAACATGTTTGAAACTTGTTTACTTTCAAATATCAACTTGGTCCGTTTCTGTGTGTATTACATAATGCATGTACAATTGAAGAACTTGGATGGTGTCATAACGATTGGTCGATCGATGACAATAGTTGTGTCAACGTATACACTGAGGCAGAGCAATAACCAGCCACGTAGCTCTGGGGTGAATTACCACCTTAACACCTTTGATACAGTTGCAATGTACCCCGCGATAGGAATAGCTGATAACGTCACTAAAGTAGAAATACGTGGTCAAAAAAGCAAATTAGATTTATTGTTTGTCACTTATTTATTTGCCATTGAGTCATAGTGCTAGTATTTATGACCCACCATTGTTGCTGTGCTAATATATATGTCACATTCGTCTCCTATGCGGCTTTATTTTACAACGTCTAACTGCCGGTGTATTTTGTCGTTTCGCCATTACAAAGCGAAAGGCAGTTCGAAACCATTCAATGGAACCCGTCCACACTGTATATCTATTCGATTTCACTGAGTTTTTGTTATATTGAACAATATTATTAGATTTTAGAGCTACAAAAATGAGTGTATTGCTGAGTGTCGGTTTCTACATTAGTGTATACTAATCAGTGTGTAACAATGACCGCGGCATTTCTACCGACTAGTTCCTTTTACACAGTGCTGCAAACCCTTGAGAATTTTCGCGCTCGGCGCCTTTTAGATGCCATCATTCGACGCCGCCCACGATAGCTGAAATGCCATTAGGGTCGTCGAATCCCATGATTCCTAATATTCGCACGAGTTACACGTCTTGCAAAGACACGGTTTAATTTATTTCAACCTAAATAAACAATAACATCCCACAGACCCCCACATTTAAGGCCATTAAGTCGATACACAACCACTTGGAATAAACTGGAAAAAAATACTCTAAATCACCTAAACTGAAAGAATCTGTCCTCTATGTTTCGGCCCCGTGATCTACTAATCGTCATTATACGATTATTCTTTTTTGATTGCATTAGATGTGATGATGTGATTTGTACTGATTGAAACGTTCAGATTAAAAAAACGGGAGTTATTCTGTTCAATTTAAAACCAATTTGCAATTAGTTAGTTAGAAATAAAATACACAATGAATAGATTACCAACCAATAAATGACTTATTTACTTTACCACTTAAAATTGTGTAATCGAAAGCATGTCGGAAGTAGCCTTTTCAGGTAGGAGTAGTGACGCAGTGATGAATCAATCAACAACGACACGGTTGCTATAGCAACATACGCAGGTGAAATACTTTCTTCACAAGAATGTTCATCTCAAAAGAAGTATTTCTGTAATTGTCAAAATGATCAATTTAAAACCAAAGGTTATGGGTCACGTTCAACGTCGATGAGTCTTACAATGTGTTCTATTCGGCTACTGACTGGCGTTCATATGACGTAAACAGTTTATATTGGAAGTGTTTTATCATGCGAATACGACTTATTAAACTCAAAACACTCCCGCCAACCCCAGCTGCAGCATTGAAACTCCAGCACATCTCAGTATATAGAACTTCACGATTTGTTATAGTGCGCCCTCAATGCTACAAAAGGCAGGCATATACAATCAGGAAAAGTCGGTCTGCAATTGTGTCCATTCGAAAAGTATACTTTTGGATTTGAAAATAATTGTTTACATTTCCCGATGGCATTTTTACAGAGTGAATTGCTATTATTGTTTTTAATACCGCGACAATTGAACAATAGAAGTTGACACAAAATAACGTGACATCACCATTCCCATGCCTTAAAAGTTACAATTGTGCAACCTTTCCTTGTCATTTTAACCAGGGGCCAACAAAAGACACCCTCCATGGTAGGGTTTGTGTTTAAATTGAGTACTAATAGATACGCCCTCTATTGTTCGAAAAATTCCGATGCTGCAATATGCAGGTATGGCTTTGTCAGACCTCGAGGTCAGACTAATAAGGGGTTGCCATAGCTAAGTGCTTTTCAATAAGTCCAAGGTGTAACCACTTTAAAACTATGGACTTGAAAATATTCCATTTCCATGTCCACATTAACACCATGACGTGTTATCTTTCTCATTCTGTTAGTTGTAGCAGGGAGCTAAGTTTGGTCTGCCGCCATGTTTCAAGAAAAAAACAAACGAACTTGTTAAAACTTTGCTTGGTGGCGCAAATATATAATACATTCTCGTATGGAGTTTATGATTCTAGGTGGTAGAGTTGTAAACATCCGTGGCACACTTGTGTAATTATCAGACATATTACTTATAATTGTACTATCATGTGATAAGGTTTGAGTTGTTTATGACTGACATCAACGAACACTCATTAATATTTTATTAACACCGCAACTAAGTATGCACTCAAGTTGCTTTTAAAATAAACACTCACGCGAAGGTTGACAGTGTATTATGACATGGACACCATTAATTATTAATTGTTACCCGAGGGTTGTATAGTATTACAACCATATGTCGTAAGATAACGGTTTCAGTAAAAGTGTATACTAGTATATCACGATGCAGCTTTGCTGTCATATTGATGCACAATCATCAATATCTAGCTTTATTAGTCGCATGTACTGCTTTCAAAATTCACATTTAGACAATCGCATTTCCGGGCTTTATTTTTCCTATGACAATACAATCTCCCGTCACTGCTTGCTCCTAGAAATGTACATTGTTCTAGTCTGAAGATGAAATGGGGGGCGAGAACGCGCTAAATCGAAATAATTCTTTCGGTTCAATGTTCGTTTCGATTTCGTGGTATTTGCTTGGACGACATCCTATAATGCGATTACGTGGATAATTAGCACCTTCGGATGTCTTTTTAAAAAAAATGTCTAATAAATAAGAAGTGTACAGCGCCATAGTGATAATCACGATGAAAATGAAGACAATCATAAATACAGTATAATAATCAATTGCATAATGTTAGCATACCATTCTCTAACATATTGTACAATATCATTGTCCTGGAAAGGGACCTTGCATGGTGCTAAGCGTTACTAATGTATTGTTTCAAAGCGATAATCTGTCACCCATTCTATTGTATTAACTGCATTCCTGTAAAAAAAAATAATTGACAGATACAAAAACAAAAAGTATGGCGGTTGTTTTGCCTTCACGTTACATGAACACGTGTACGTAGTGTTACTACTACTACTACTACTATTA